AGGTGACTGCAGAAATAAGTCGGCAACAGCCAGAAACGCATGGAGAAAAAGAACAGGTCTTTGAAATGGACGTCCGATGGGATGCCGTCAGGCCCATAACAGTGAGAAAAGCAACCGCAAAGTTGGTTGGTGTGAAATGGGAGTGCTTGTATGAAGTAAAAATTGGCCTAATCGAATTATCGGTCGATGTGATAGCAGTCACCGAAGCCTAGCTGACCGAAGATATTCGAGATAACGAAGAAGTATTATCTGGAAACCAAATATACCGGAGAGACAGGAAAAACTGCCACGGTAGTACAGCAGTTGTGTTCCTGAATGAATCTTTAATGGAATCCGAAAAGACCATCCGCTTTCTATGTAGCACAGACGCTATGTACTTAACCATCAAGGCAACTGCCTCCCAATGTCCTAGTTGTCTGTCGATCATCTAGGACAAACCAAATCATCAACATTCAGCTAATGGAACAATTGAATAGATTCTCAAGTCTATTTAAGGCCATGGTCATTGGCGAATTCAATGCCTCAGGAAGTACCTGGAGCATTGTTTAAGCGTCATACCTAAAGTCTATCTTCAACTACCCTTTTCCACATAAAAAACTGAAAATTGGCCTCAGGACTGGGCCCGTCTCCCAAGCAGTTGTCCAGTCAACTTCTTATACCATTCTCAATGTCCTTTCCCAGTTCGTTTGACACATGAACACTTCGTGTCGTTTGGAGGCCGACGCCTATATCTCCTCTATGCAAATGCGGTAGCCGGCAGTCGATGACAAACTTGACATGCAGTCTCGGCAAATTCATTGACGGGATCATGAAAAATGTATTAGTAAAATTCTTAGACGTGTAAATCCTGTTATCCAACTGAAAAGGAGTATTCTGCACAACAAACTTGCTGCTTAGCTGGACCCGATTTCTCAAACATGCACAAGCGATTTATATCGTTTTCATTGACTTTTGAAAGGCGTTCAACACTGTGCCAGGGCGGGGACTGTTATCCAAGCTCGAGAAAACAGAAATCAGAGGTAATTCTTTCAAATGGATCCAAAATGGCCTTGTGGGTCACTTTCAGGTTGTAGGCATCGGTCAGGGAATTTGAGTTAGCAAATGAAGTAATTCTTACTGTTTTTGAGAGTGGAACTCTCTAGGGTGCAGCTCGGGGACCCCCTTTATTTCTGATTTTGGTCAACCTTTCCTTCAAAGTTTGCCAGGCGAATTCTAGACAATCCTGACACTTTCGTAGGGAAGGTTTGAGGAATTGACAAAGCTTGCCCGCACAATTCACCTACACGGTCATCCGTACAAGGTCAGAAGCGAACACATATGATTGGACCTCAGAATGTTTTTCTTCAGCCAACTGATTATACGACCGTGGAACTGGCTACAACGCGAGATGGTCGCCACGGACACTATTTTTGATTTTAAAAGGAAGGCTTCATCGCATAATATTTTGAAAAAAATGACTCTCAGAACATGAAACCTTAGAGTCAGCGTTACAAAAAATGTTCTGACCATACGCTGCTTCACAATGAACAGCGGCAACTCGTTTTAAATTGTGTCCCGCTTTCATTCGAACAGATGTTAAATGTCTACAACGTTCTACCAACTGTAGATATTCAAAACTTTCTTTACCATAAAAAGTTCCTGAAGAGTGTTGCCCCCAGCCCTTTAAATAGAGTAGGTGACCTAATTCAGGCCAAGTCATTATCGAAATTTGACTTGGTAGTTTAGCACACATTTGGTCGCGTTATTTTGGTCTAATAAGTAGAGTAAATCCTGAGAAAGTCTGTGGTGGTCGCTGCCGGCCGACGCCCTCCATTGCTTTATCTGGCCTCATTGTTCAACGCCAGCTGCCTCAAGGTCATCCAATACCTCTGTCAGCGTATACAAACCTAACAGCGCTTACCTGCAGAAACTTGACCTACTTCCACTCGGACACACACACGTGTGTCTAGGTTCTCGCGGC